TAATGCGCGTAGAGTGAGGTCCTGACAAGCGATAACATTTCTCACTGGAGGCCGGATGGGGCCGGGCGGGGCGGCGGCGGCGCGGGGACGCGCCTGTCTCTTTAAGGGAGCTCGGTCTGGGGTGGCGCTTTCCTCCGCGAAGGCTCCTTTGATATTAATAGTGTTGGTGTCTTGAAACTGACGTAATGCGCGGAGAGTGAGGTCCTGACAAGCGATAACATTTCTGATAAAGACCCGATCTCATTGCAATCTCCAGCGTCCTCTTTCTCGCTGCTGCTCGGTGGCTCCGGACCTTGCGTCCTCCTGACCGGCTCTCTCGCCTTTGCCTATTTTTTTTTTTTTTTTTTTTTAAACAACAACAACAACAAAAAAACCCCAACAACACCCCCTCCCCTCTCCCACCCGGCACCCGGCACATCCCGGCTCTATTTCCTTTCTCTTTCTCTTGCGCTCTCTTTTTTTTCCTGGGGGGGGAGGGAAGGGAAAGGGGGGGCGGCAGGAAAGACCTTTCTCCCCCCCCCCCAATAATCCAAGATCAACTCTGCAAACAACAGAAGACGGTTCATGGCTCTGGCCGCCGCGCCACCATCTTTCGGGCTGCGGAGGGTGTTCCTGACGATTAATCAACAGGTAAGGGGGAGCCGGGCAGGCCGGGGGGGCGCGGGCTCAGCCGGCCGGGGCGCCGTTCCGCCAGCGCTGCGCCCGCGCGAGTGTGCGCAAAATGTGGGCGATCGCGAGCGGGGAGCCCTGGGAATTAAAAGTGACTTTCTTTGAAAAAAAAAAAAAGAAAAAAAAAAAAAAAGCACAGCCGAGGGAGAGAGTGTGCAGCAGCAAGCCAAGCGCAGGCTTCTCGGGTTTCACACGCATTTTCTTTCTTCCTCCCCCCCCCCTTTGCGCGTGTGATTTCTTTCTTTCTTTCTTCTCCTCTGTTCCCTTACCCCCCCCCCCCCAATTCCTCTGCTCCCTTTGCTGGGTCTAAGGCATCTGAGCCTTGGAAACGAGAGCGACTTCAAACTGCAGTAGCCCCCAGAGTCAGGAGGGTCAAGTTCAGCCGCCGGGGAGGAGGAAAAACAAATCCCGATTTGCCAAAAAAAGAAGTTTCAGGCCGGTGCCCCCTCCCCCTCCCAGCCCCACTCCCCCTCGCTGTCTCTTGCTGGCTGATTTTAATTCTCTCCTACCGGGAGCAGCAGAGGATCTGGAGGTGGCTGGACCCGAGGGGCCGCCGCCGCCGCTGCTGCAAGTTTTCTGGGGGCTCCTGACAAACGGGGAGCAGACTAGGCACCGGCATGCAGAGTAGTAAGTTGGGTGAACTTGGGAGGGTCGGGAGGTTTTCCGAGAGGGGTCTTGGAGTGGCCCTCAAAGTGATAAAACAGCATAGACTGGCTTTGGCTTTGAAGAGTTTAGTTTGCAGAGCCAGGCTTCAAACTTTTTTCCCTTAAAGGCCCAGCTGGCTTGGAGGGAGCGAGTGTGGCATCCCCTGGTGTACCGGTCTCTGGGCAGCTCAGGGCAGCCTGGGCCCAGGGATCTGTGCCCTGTCGGTACCATGAGGCAGGGCCTTGCAGCCAGGGCGCTTCCGTAGGGGCTGAGCAAGGGGCAGACTTCCTCTGCCGTGCGGTTGATGCGCCATGTGTCGAGCGGGTCAGGGGACACTGGCTGGTGATTAAACGCCTGACAGCGGTGGGACATGCAGGCAGACAGGCTCTTTGCTTTCTGTCTAGTTCCTGTTTGGGCTGTAGAGTCTGAAACGCATCTTTGAAAGGCCAAGGCAAACACCTCTATCCCTCCAAATAACTCCAGGATTATAGGACCCCATGAATAATTTGAGGGTGAAGCAGAGGTGGGAGCTGTTTGAAGTGCAAAGTTGTTTTTGTGGCTGGGAAAGCTTTTTTCTGTGAGTACCTGTCTGAGATGGTGGTGTTTCCCCTTTCACCAGGGAAGTCACTAACTGTTTTATGGCTCTAGGATCTTAAAGCCATTGAAGTGAGAGGACCGGAGGACTTACGGGGGGGCTTCGGAGAGACTCTTGCTTGAACTTACTACATTTTAGGACCTGGCTGACTTCCCCATATCTTTTTAGGCCTTGATCCTTTGAAAGTTTTTGAGTAAGAGCTATGGATTTAATGGTGAATCCAAATTAAGATAGAATATCCATCCTTATCCGGTTTTGGGAAATCACCGCTAGCGTTTTAAGCAAGGTAAGTGAAGAGAGAGGGGCTGAGCGAAGAAGTAGAATCAGGCACAAGTTAGGCCGATTCATTGAACTTTTTAAGCTCTCCAGGTGAACAGGAAAGAGCCTGGAAGAGATAGTCAGTATAAAAGCAAAAATACAGATAAGGGCCTGAGACAAGATTACAAAGAAGTAATCATTCCAGGCCTTGTTGGCTAAATTGAATTGCTCAAACTTAAAAAATATAAAATAAAAAAATAAAGGGGACTTTTCCAACAAGTCTTTCGAGTTTTGTAAACTCCAGAGCACAAACCCACCAGCCTCTGTAGCATCTCTATCCTTTCCTGCAGGTTTAAGAAAGAGTTGATCATTTAGAAAAGGCTGCCAGAGCTGAACATGTTAGGGACGGTCAGGAAAAGTACTACAACTAGCAGGTCCTTGACTGGGCAAAAAGAGAATGAAAGTCTCTAATCTCACTGCTGGGCAGTTTCGTACATGCTTCTTTTTTTCACTGGCTTCTGAGGCTTCCCCAGTTAATGCAGCGCTTGTGTAGAAAAGCAAAGGTTCTAAAATAATCACCATGCGGCTTTTCCCCCCTTTTTCTTTCCCCAAGTATGACAGGGTTGTGAATAAATACAGGGTTTGTATGGGAAGATGAAGCGTTTCCTGTAAGTTTCGATGCTGACAGGACAGTCTGGAAATGATACCAACATTCTGAGGAATTTTTTTTATACCTTTAAGTGAAAGTTTTATTAATGGCATGCTCAAACTTCACAACTTAAACTTGTATGTTCATTGAGTTTATCCTTCGGTAGATTTCATAACTTCTTTTTAGAACCGTTCCCTTGAATTAAAAACATCTCCCGTCAGTTAAATAGACAGGGCCGTGAATATGCTAGGTTGATGATTATTTCTGGATATTAGTACTGTGAAAATAGAACTGCAAAGGAGGAAATAGAGTCAGAATTTCTCTGATGGGCCATGATTTCTCTAAATGTAAGACATTGGGAACCTTCATCCGTACTCTATTGGCAAAATATTATTTACCTTTGATGAGCTGATTTTAATGGCTTCCCAATATGCCTGTTGCGTGGTAGGCTATGTGTGTGTAGAATACTTTTACATACGTAATAGCTAAATCTGACATTCTGCAAATAAGTGGTAGGAAGTATTTAGCAAAAAAGTTTGTCACTCCTGAATTTTAGATTCTGCTAGTGTTTGTGCTGCTGGGTGGCTTTTGTCCTTTGTTAAAACTAGCATTAAAGGTACGGAGGAGAGTGCCAGAGTGGCTGTGAATCCTGAGTTGAATTCAGAGCTCCACACTTTGACTACTAATATTGGGAACAATTTAATAGAAATTTCTACATACTTTTATACTAACCAGTTTAGCATCTAAATCTGTGTGCATTTCATCATGAGTGACCTACATATACCCTTACTTTGTTTTTAGCATTATTATTATTATTATTATTATTATTATTATTTTACTTTTTGAGTCATGTAACACTCCTACATTTATTCCTGTTTTCACCATAGGTCTCTGTAACCATGCTTAAGGAAATGTTCATTCATAAGAAAACCTTCCAAATAGGGAAATGAATGCATATGTTATAAAGCTGCTTTTTAGATCCTAGTAGTTAAGGGTGCCTTTACTAATGCTGTTGCTGTTATTACTGTTAGATGTATATGGGTCTATGCACAGATAGAAGCCGCTATTTGCTTCTAAAGATGTATACATTTTCTATTAAGAAATAAGGCAAGAGTGTGGGGTTTTGTAAACTTTTATGCTATCTTTTTTGAAGTACATAAACACTGCTGAAAATTTTTAAACTTGAAAAAGATTTTGCTATTGAGTTAGAACTTTATTTTGAGTTTGGAATTGGTGTCAGCATTGATAACTAAATTTCTGATAGTTTCCGTAATATATATATATTACAGTTATTGTTAATTTAATATATCCTATGAGTTCAAACAATAATGCCGTAACACTACACTGTTGTACACAGGACAAAATAGACTTTCAGAGAGTTGTGGACAGGTGTCTAGAGTTGATTTTTGAAATAAGCGACGGACTTAAAATAAAATGACTGGCTCCCTTAAAACATATCCTCATGAAGATATTCTCTGGTGTGTAAAATGAAGCCATTCATTCAACACACTGACAACTTTCCACTTGGTATTTGCCTCTGCTTAATTTAGTTTCCTCGGGACAGCTAGTGTGGTAGCCTGCATCTGTTTTTGGCAGGCGTAGAAAACTATAAACTCAGACAGTTCTGTCTCAAATATTTTAGCTCATGAGTTACAATCAATTTGATAAAAAACAGGCAAGTTGTATGAGCTTGCTTTCTCTTGTTCATCCTTGGTCCAGCTTCCAGGTAACAGATTTCTTTTTCTTGTTGTTTTAGTTATAATTACTAATATTGTTGATAAATAATTAACCTTTTAAAGCTTCCTTATTTATTATTTTTGAGCTATGGGTTAATGAATAATAGCATATTTAGACTTAGCTAAACTTTGCCTATCTATGAGATAGCTACATTTATTTGGATATATGGAAAGAAGTGAATTGTGTTGTCATAACAGGATTTATAGGATTTAGTGGACTCCTTGCAGGTATCATATGAAGACATTTATCTTGACGTTACCAAGCTGAAATTCAACATTTCCCAAGTGTACTTATTATGCTCATCTATGTATACTTATTATGCTCATCTATGTAAAAGACTTAACGTACTTTACAATTAATTGCATTTTAAAACTGAACAGTTGCTTTTATCATTATCAAAAGCACTTGTCTCCTAAAACTTTGATCAGTTTACTGAAGTACCTGAAAATGCCAAGGTTTGTTTTTAGACTACTGTTCAGTATCAAATAAAAAACAGCCTGTTTTGTTCTCAAATGTTAGTTGGTCCAAAGCTATTTGTATCAAATATTCTATTATAGATGACCTTCATAAGTGAGACTTCAAATGATACAACTGCAGCTGCTTTTGGGGGTCTTTATAATACTCAATGGCTCTTATTTCGCTGAGAGTGGATTTGCAAGCCTCTGGCTTGTTTCTCTGTAGGGTATAATAATGAAGAAACTGATACAGGTTAGAAAGAGATCTTTTAGGCTTAAGAAAATGCTTTTACTGAATTTGCAAGATGCTGAAAAGTATTTGAATGGTTAAGAAGTAGTCAAGAGAAGCATACTAGTGATAACGGCTATCGGAACCATTACAACATTGCTACACTGAGTTCCTTTTATGTTCCCATCTCTCTTTGCCCCGTCAGAGCACAGTTCCAAGTACCCAAAACAGAGATGAAATTATCAGTGCATTTCAAAGAAGAAATATCATTGGAATATTTTTTGACTTAGGTATAATTGAAATATAAACGTTTAAGGCTGGCCATACAGCATGTTGCATGTAAAATAATCTAAAAAATCGTTTTAATTTTTAAAATGCAGCTAGCTCTTTAAAACCCTGCAGCTAATACTTTACCAGTGGCTAGACACCTTCCCTGGTGTTCAGTTTATACAAGTAGGAAACTTTCTCTCCTGCTCTTTCTCTGTCTCTTTCTTGTTTTCTTTAAACCAACTGACGTCATGCCAAACTTTGCTTTAAAAGAACAGACAGAAGTAATTGGTAGCTTTTAACTTTTAATAATGTTCTGCATTGGTTTTGGTGGCCAAATGCTATTTTTTTTTAATTTTTTTTTTCTTTAGGAAAAAAAAAAAGTTCAAGTAAGAACGGGCTTGTGGCCTGAGGAAGAAAAGCTCTGTTGATACAGTTATTTTTATTCTTGTTTTTCAATCTGTTATTAAAACTCTTTCCTGCTGAGCTCTGCTGTATTTCTTCAGTTGTTCACTGTGATGGCTGGTGCACTTGAGGTTACAATAATTTAAACAGTTTGTGAACTTGGGGGAGTGTTTGTCTTACTTTATTTCTTATTATTTGAAAGAAAAAAAACAGGTTTGTTTCAATAGAGATTAATTAATGAAGGTTATCAATGGTGACAGGTCAATGAATATGTTTATCAAGAGATTGCCACACCTGTTACAAAGGGCCTAAAATATGGAAGTTTAATTGTGACATTAATCATTTTTATGTGCAGAGGAAGGAAAATAGATGAAATGTTACCAAAAT